ATCCTTTTTTTTTTACTTAGCTAAATGATAATTTGCTCATTTCTTTCTTTGTCAGGAAATACTTTTCTTAGGCACAGCAAGCAGTGCTTTATCCTCTGTTCCATAGCTGTAGGATTGAGTCCTGTCTTTCTGAAACATTCAAAACAAATCTAGATGTGTTCACATTTTATATGTGAGGAGAGAGAAAGTCCCAGAGGGAAAAGAGGAGATTCCTGCATGGGTAGAACTGGGTCCTTGCCTGGAAAAGATGCTCTTTTGCTCTGTTTTTTCCTACCTACCTCTCTTTAGGCCCTGCTCATTGGGAGCAGCGCACTTGCCTGGCTTTCAGAGCATCCCTGCTGTGCGTAAATGAGAGAAAACATTTTTACTTGTCCTCAACTGCTCTTCTGGCCTGCTAATATGTATCAACTCTTTTGCTAAAAGAAGAAAGTAGTGAGTTCAGTATAGCAAATAAATGCTTTGCTAATTTGATAGAATCTTTTTCTTGAGGTTTTTCAATCTTATAAAGACACTCTGGATAAATAAAATGATTTCATTTTTGTGTACAGTAAATGGTAAATTTTTAGCTTGGTAGGTAGAATAAAGTTTATTTAGACAATAATTGTCTTGTCTGAAGCAGCTAGGTGCTAAAAGGAGGAGCCTTTGAATTCTTCTTTTTGAAGTAGTCTTCATTGCATGTAACATGATCATGATTTCTGATTAATGCTATTTGTTTCTATAAAATAAAAAAAATTCGGACAAAAATGAATTTTAATTAGTTAATGATCTCACTGTTTCAGAGAGGTAAAGATTAGGGCAAATAGAAGATAGTGTTTTATTTTTAAGTTTATAAAAAATTAGTAACTGAATCCAACCATACTATTTCAGGAAAATATGTTGTTAGATGTCATTGCAATGACAGAAGATTTCCAGCCAATACCTTTGCTGCTTTCTTTGGTTATTCTCTTGCAGGGATTGAAATGTACCTAAGAGGGAATTGCCCTTTCAGGCTGCTTCTTGAAAGCTAAATTGGCCTGTGGCTTTAGATATGCCTTACTCTCACAGATAGTTTCACTCTCCTGCAAGAACAGAGAGAGGAATTCAGTGGGCAGCAGAAAGAGGTATTTACAAGAAAATAGCCTCCTATGTGTGTCGCGTGCCCATCTCCATGATGGCTCTGTTATCTTCATTTTTGCCCTTCCCATCTCAGGTGTCTTGTTTCTTTTTTAAGAATAGAGACAAGATGCTGAATTTCTAGGGTCATGGAATTTAGAGCCAGAAATTACTTTATATGTCATAGATCCCAATCCCCTCACTTTATAGAGAAGAAAACAGAGGCCTCAGAGAGTAGATAACTTAGACAAATGGAACTTAGTTGTGAACTCTTCTCATTTACCATATGGCTATACAGAGTAATATGTTATATCTTAAGAGTAAGTTGTAGATTGCTGTTTCCCATATTAGAAGCAATGCTGTTTTTTCCTTATTTAAAAAAATATATATTTTTAACCACCTATGTAGACACAATTGTTTAAAACATCTAAATAATGTGCTTTACAACTAATATTTGTTTCCCATTAAATAGATACTGGACATAAAGACCGTAGTAAATTTTGCCTCATTTCTTTTGTATTCTCTTGCATAGTTTCGGGTAAATGAGTTTGGAGCTTTGGAAGTGATCACAGATGAGACTGAAATAGAAAGTGTTAAAAAGGCTACTGCCACCACAACCTGGATGGTGCCTACTGCCCAAGAAGGTCAGAAAGAAGTGGCTTCCATTTTTCTTTTGTTTTTTTTCTGTTTTGAACATTTTTAAGTGTTGTAATGTAAACATATATGTATGTAAACATCTAAAGTCTTAAAACAGAGCGTCTTTGATTTCAAGGGGTTTGTGAACTGGGATGGGAAAACATTTTTAATTCTTGTAATTCTTGTATTTCTATGTATTGTAATTCTATGTATTTTATTTTATGTGTTTAAAGACTTTATTCTGGGAAGGGGACCGTGGACTGCCAAAGGGTTCCATGACCAAAAAAAAAAAAGTTAAAAACTCCTGTCTTATAAGAATTTGGGGCTTATGCAGTGTTCTTTTTTGTTCTTTTTTTATATGAAAATATCTGTATTTGCTCATGTTTAAATTCATAATAAAATAAAGATTTTAAATCTAAGATAGCACTGGAAGGTGTCCATGGAACATATTCTTATATAAATTTTAACAAGATAAAGAAATAGGATAAACTCTAACATTTTAAAAAGCTGCAGGCTAGTCTTCTAATTCTATATTGGATTAGCACAGAATGAATTGGAGGATTGGTAGCTCTCTAGCTAACATAAAATGACATTCTATCAGGTATGTTAGCAAAAGTGCCACCACTTTAATTTACCAAATATTTTGAGCAAAAATGCATTTTGAGGTCCAGCCTATATCTGGATAATTGTAATTGCATGTATTTGGTCTTAGACACAAAAAGGGAAATGGAGAGATGTTAATGTTTTGAATTTTATTTATGTTTGCACCTCTAATTCAGGTAAAAAAAAAGATTATATTAATCAAAAGTCCATTTACATGGACCACTGTTTGGGTACTGTAGGAAATACTTTTTTTGGTCATGTCAAAAAAGAACCACTTTCTGAAATTCAGAACTCCAAATTAGCTACCAGAGTAGTCCTAATTTATTGGCAAATTAACATTTCTCTTTCCCTCCAAAGTTTTCTGTAGGATAGTGCTTAGATAGATTATTGTTTGATTTTATTACAGATTTTTTCCTATTTGTAAACTCTACCTCAGTTTTCTGCTCACTGTCTGCCTCTCTATCTCCAAATCATTTAAAGTATATTCTTGTAGTATTAATCAAAGTATTGCAAAAGTATTACATTATATAAAGGAAAGAGCACTTCACCTAGATTCAGAAGATGGGTTCAAATCCTCACTTTATCTACCACTTGGGGTAAGTTACATAGACTCCCTGATTGTGAGTTTCTTTATTTGTAAAATGGATCTTTTACCTTTTCTACTTATTCCACAGAGTGGTTATAAGAATCAGATAAGAGAATGTTATATAAATTCCTTCATGACTATAGAACACCATATGGCTATGATTGACATTATCATGCTGGTGATGATGTATTTTGGAAAAAAAAAATTGAAATGATACTAATTTAGTGATGCCCTTCTTTTACCTTCTAGTTTTTTCAGAGAAGACAGGGGTGCCTTTCCGGTTGAAGGAAACAATGAAAGTAGAAGGACTTCAATTCTGTGAAAACTGTTATCAGTATGGCACTATAGATGAGTTTCTTTCTGGAGGAAAATTTTGCAGTCAGAAATGTGCACGTCAGAACAAAGACAAGTAAATTTTGTTTTTATCATGTGTGAAATGGGTTTGCAAATATAAAGATAATGGAGAATGAGACCATGAGCTTTTTCTAGTTTATGTCAGTTTCTTATTTTTTTAAAAAACAGTTTTTTGAAGCTAATGATGGTTTTGAGAGACATTTATTGAGCACTTGCAATATGCTAGGCACTATGCTAAGTGCTAGAAATATACTTAGAAATAAGTAAGGCAGTCTCTGCTCTCAAAGTACTCCTTTCCAGTGACGGAAATTCCCAATTTTCGACAATCATAGATATTCTAGTATACGTAGAACAAGCAAAAAAAAGGAGTTTACGTAAACCTTCTGAATTTTTGTGACATAAAGTTTGTTTAGAAGATGTATATTTTATATCCCCTCCTGCAGACTTTCAGGGACTAATGAGATAGTTCCTTGGGAGGGTAGAGTTGGCTACAATTAAATATGGCAAAGTAATAATAAAGTTGCCATTTGTGTTCCCTTCTATATTTCTCTTTTTTTTGTCCCTGTAATTTTTGCTTTGTTGATACTTGTTTCTTTTTTTTCTTGTATCTCATCTGTTCCTACTTATTTTCTTCCCTCTATTTCTTTTCACCAAGACTTTCTTTTTAATGTTTAAGTATACTTAAACTTTTTGATAAGCTTATTTGATTCTGACTTCTATTATGTTGTTAGCTTTCTTTGTACTTCATAAGCTCCTTGAGTGTTACTACAGTAATTGCCTCTTTTTCATTGTGTTAATTAGATTGTTAGTAACATGAATATTGACAATCATGGGTAGCATGGTTGAAGTGGAAAGAACATTGGCTCTGGAGTCAGAAAACAGGTTCAAATACCTGTTTACACTCATGGGATGTTAGGCAAGTAGCTTAACTTCCTGAGACCTCAATTTCCTCATCTTTGAAACAGTCAAGTCTCTGAGGTCCCTTCCAGTTCTAGATCTTTGAGTTTATTAATTAAGCTTGTAGAAACAAATTGGTTTTTTAATAAAAAATACTATTAGAATATGAGCTCTTTACGGGCAGAGAGCATTGTTTTTTTAAACTTTATCTGTATCCCAGCTATTTAGCACAGTCCCTATCACCTAGAAAGTACTTACTACATTTTTGTTGACTGGTAAAAGTAATTTTGGTTAGACCTTTCATTTGTAACAAAGTATTTGAGATTCATTCCAAGGAAACTGACCATTATTTTTGTAGTAGTGTGTGTGATTAGTCAGCCAGCTCAGTACTAGACTGAAGTTTAGAAGAGAAGTGTGGCGCACCCTGACATGGTGGTGTTTGAACTGCTTCCATTTTAGAGACCTTAACAAAATCAGTCTTAACCTCAAAATAAATTTTAGAATACATATGTTTATTGCAAATAATTGTGTATTTTATGCTACAGTTATTTGACTCATTTAGTGGGGTTTTCTGATGTCATTTTATGGGCACATCATTTTTTAAATTGTTTCTTTTCACTGAGTAATATTTTACAAAATTAGCCTTTTGCAATTTGGTTTTGTCTGTCTGAATAATAGCTAGATGAATCCTTGCTTTAAAATAGACCTGAACACTTAACTCTTTTTTTTGAAAAAAAAATCAGATTCTTTATTAGTTTCGATGACAGATGTGAAAGGCAAATAATTTTTAACTTGTAAAAACTCGTTCAACATATGCTGCTGGTGTCTCTTTTGCAGTCAACATAACATAATTTCCATTTTCTGTACCCTGACAGCTGGCATGTGTATTAGTGGTTTTAAGTGTGCTTTATATATGCTGTCCAGTTGTGTTCCAGTTCTTCCCTTTGATTAAAAATGTTTCTGTTAGAGAAATTAAACATTTTAATGAATTTGTCATTGATAATTATGCATATGTTTGACATATGGTCTCTTTTAGTAATATTTAGTTTATTTTCACAGCAGAGAACAGAAGGAAGAAAAAGATCTAGGTGAAGACAATGAAGAAGATGACTCTAAGTGTAGTCGGAAGAGGAAAGCAAAATTACCCCTCCGAGTAGAGCCTAAGGAAGATGGAGAGGAAAGAGAAGATGAAAATGTTAGTATCGCTTTTGTGTAATTAAGTTATGGACAATAGTTACACTTACTCAATAGAAGTGGTTAGTTGTTTTGTCATATTATCACTGATATATTTAGTAATTATAAAATATAACTACTTTTACTTTGGGTGTATGGTTGCTTTAGTACCTTCCTTTAGTATTGCTGCTTTCATACCCATAGGGCAATTCAACAAAGCCCAAAGTATTGAATCATGTTCATACCATTCTACTGGGTGAAATAAAAGGTTGAGATAGGATACTGTGTCCAAGGATACCATGTTTAGGCCTCTGCAATTGCTTCATTGACGAAGAACTTAAAGATAATAATAGAATCCTTATTAGTCTACCATATTGGACTTTCTACCTGAGTACAAGTAGAGCAATAAAATTAGTTATGCTGGAATGCTCCTTCTGCTATTTTATTGGTACTTCTACTTTTCATAGGACTCAGTACTCAGTAGAGAGAGTTTCTGTTTTAAGGTGGAAAGCAAATTAATGGTGTTTCTTCATTTTCTTGAAGTGGTTCTTGGTATCTTTGCATGAACCAATGGAGATGAGTATGGGAGAACCTACCTCCTGTTCTGAAGATGTAAAATCAAATCTTGGCAGAGTGAATAGGAACCAAGAACATTTAGATAATTATCATCTTAAAATAAAGGCAATAGGAAGTACCTCTTAACTCTGGGGACAGGAGCATTTTACTAATGAAGCCCAAGTGGTAGCTTTGCTTTTTCTGATTCCTTTGTATTATTTGCAGATTTGGTAAATATGCTATCCTTGCCTTATATAAGTCATTGTTAAACACTACAGGGTCAAGCACAGATCCCTGTGCAATCTACTAGAGACCTCTTTATAAAATTATAAACAAATCCTCCAGTCTAGCCATTCAGCCATTTCGGAATCTACCTAACTACTGATGTTTCACCCAAATTGTCACATCTTTTCCCAAAGAAGAGGATAAGAGATTTTGTCAAATGCACTGCTAGATTTTAGGTAAATCCTAACTGTGTTATTCCCATGATCTACCAATCTATTACCCCTATAGAAAAAGAAATGAGGTTAGTTTGACCTGACTCATCCTTGATGAAGCTGTATTTATATACTCCCTTGTAAAATGAAGAAATTAGATGACATGGGCCTCCAAGGTTCCTCTTCTGTTCTTGATCTGTGATACTACTTCTTTCCTCAATGTTTACTATCTCCTTAATAATCCTTTGTAGACTCTTTTTTTTTGGCAAGGCAGTGGGGTGAAGTGGCTTGCCCAGGGTCACACAGCTATTAAGTGTCAAGTGTCTGATGCCAGATTTGAACTCAGGTCTTCCTGAATCCAGGTCTGGTGCTCTATTCACTGCTCCATCTAGCTGCCCCCGTTGTAGACTTTTACCAAGCTAGCTGCTTTATGGGCAGCTAGCTTGGCACAGTGGATAGAGTGCTGGGTCTGAGGGCCTGAAGTCAGGAGGACTTATCTTCCTGAGTTCACATCTGGCCTCAGACACTTACTAGCCATGTGATCCTGGACAAGTCACTTAACCCTTTTTGCCTCACTTCCTCATCTGAGTTGGAGAAGAAAATGGTAAACCACTCTAGTATCTTTGCCAAGAAAACCCCAAATAGGATCACAAGCAGTTTGACACAGACTGAAACGACTGAATGACAGCAAAGCTGCTTTATAGTTTATAAACTTGATTCTTTTCCTCCTTTTTGAAAATTAGGACATTTGCCCTTTTTTAGTTCTATGATAAGTTTTCCCTTTTTGCAAGATCATTCAGAGGTCATTGACCTTGGCTTAGCAATCATATTCACCACTTCTTTCTGTACCTTGGGATGCAGTTCAGCTGGGTGTGGTGAACTGAACCCATCAAGGATAGTTAAAGCTCTCTCCATGTGTTTCTGTTCTTGTTTGCTTTCATCTCCCAATGAGCCAATTTTGTTCTGCCCTCAGTTGTCTAAAGATTTGTCTGAAGATACAGAAAACAAATAAAATTTTGACACAGAAAACTTGACACAGACAATAAATAAAATGAGAGCTGACTATTTTTTGATTTTTCTTCATCATTTTACATTTTCCCAACCAACCCTAAGTAGTGGTCTTGTCCTTTCTTTCCTTCTAATATAGCTAAAAATTACTTTCTTTGTGATCTTGAGAATTTCTAACCAATTATAGGTGATTTTGAGCTGTAGTACTTCTTATAGGACCATCGTATACCCCTGTATTCCCTATCACTTGCCCTTGTATCTTTATTTTCTTTAAAAAAGATGTAAATTGGTTGATATAAATTGGTGAGTTCCCATGCATTTACACCAGTCTCTTTAAATAACTCCCTCTTTTCATCCCATTTGCAGTTGTTTTTGTTTGTGTCTTCAGAATTTTATTCTTGAGAGTCTCCAACTCTCATGGCCTGACTTCTGTAGAATTTTAGGTCGTGAAATTCTACATGCCCATCTCTGAACCCTTTGAAATCTTTTCTCCCAAAATCTGGAATGCATTTCAGACCATGTCTGGCTTTCTTCTTTATCACAAATTCTAAGATTGAGTGATCCCTTTGCAAAAAGGTGTTCCCATTATTTCTAAGTTAACAACCAATTCCTATTTTGTGATTGAGAAACAGTTCCAAAATTGCTCTTTTTGAAGGATGGAATTGTTAATTGTTAAGGCAAATCAAAAAGTTATTTGCTAATCATCTACTCTTGGGGGGAGAGAGAGAGAGAAAGAGAGAGCGCTCTACCAGATAATTGAAATCATCATCTCAACCCTATCAGACCTCTGTGCCAGGCTTGTGATATGTTTCCTGAACCACTAACTTATTTCTTCTTTTAGATGAGGTGTTCTATGCTGTGCTCTGATGTATCACATCTGTTTCTGTCTCTGTATCATCATCATGCTTTTCCCTTCTATTTACTGGACTTCATCATTTGGTATATCTTCTTCATGTTCCATGCTATTCCCTTTTAGCTATCCTGTCTTTATTAAAGTAGATATTCTTTTCTAGAGCCTAATTCCAGTGATGATCCCATCCCACCAAACTCAGTGAAAACTATGAGCTTTAACTAGTCTCCTTGCATTGGGATCTGTGGTTAATTTGCTTGTTAACTCTTATTTTGGGTATTTGTATATAGATATCTAAAACTGGGTTTTGTTGATTACTCTTTCCTTGGGTTAGGTATAGCCTGTGAATTTTTGGGCTTTTTTTTTTACTCCAATACGTTGTATTATTCCTCATAAACAGTATCCTCTGTGTTCCTTGCAACCTCCAGTTCTACCCCTTTCTGTTTTTCCTGTCCACTGCCCTCTGACCTTACTTTCCTTCCTTTGAAATCTCAACTCTTGTTTTACTCAGTTCAACTTTATGCTGTCCATGACTTTTCAGTATTTTGCTCCATTGTTCTGTCACCACTTATTCCTCTTCAAACTTTAATGCTGTATTACTTTGGTTGTTGCAGAATGCTGCTAGAGAAAGTCACATTATCATACTTGATGGGCCTATGATGGGAGTTATGTTTTGGTTTTTTTTTAAGGCAACTGGGGTTAAGTGACTTGCCCAGGGTCACACAGCTACTAAGTGTCAAGTGTTTGGTCTGAGGTCAAATTTGAACTCAGGTCATCCTGACTTCAGGGCCAGTGCTCTGTCCACTGCACCACCTAGCTGCCCCTGTGATAAATTTGTTATCATACGTTAACTGAGCCTGAGATGCTGCATACCCATCCTTTTATTCTTCCTTAGACGACTCTGTGGAATTCTCCACAGCAGCTGTTCCTTTTCTCTACTTGATAGCCACCCTAGTATAGGCCCTTATCCCCTCTGACCTGTACTGTTTATTACAGTAGGCTTTTAATTGGTCTTTCTGTATCTAGTTGTTTCTCCAATCCATTCTCCGCACTGCTACCAAATTCATAATTCTGAAGTTCAGATTTTACCATGTTATTCCTATTCAAGTAGATTCTGTGGCTCTCTATTGCCTTTAGAATAAAATAGAGGTTCCCATTTGCCCTTTAAAGCCCTTCACAATATGGTTCTAGTCTATGGTTCCAGGCTGATTACAATTTATCGAAACTGTAGCTTAAATTGTTTTACATGCTGCTCCTTATATATTTTATTCTACCTCTTGCCTCTGTCTTTGCATAGGGTGTCCCCCATTTCTAGAATTCTCTCCTTACTCATCTTTGTCATTTGGAACCACCAACTCTCTTTAATGCTTAGGTGAAGTGATACTTTTTTAAAGAGGTCTTTCTTAATTCCCCTACCTGTTATTACTGTCCCCTACTTCTGTCATTGTGTATATATTTTGGATATATCCCGTATTTTTTCATCTGTAAACACTTATCCCTGTAGTACGATGTAAGCTGTTCGAAGGCATGCATTAACTCTATTTTAGCCACAGTGCCTGGCAACTAACAGAGATACAGAATAGAGAGACTGGACCTGTGATTTCATTGGAAGAGGGAACTCCGAGGTAAATATTAGGTACTTTAAGTGCTTGTTGATTGATTCTGTTATCTTATCTGGTGTGCTAGCTTTGTGTAGACAGTTTTCTCTATCCCCTTTTCTTTTAATGATAAAGCCTTTTTGATTAAATTTGCAGGACTTTAAGCAAGTGCTTCCCCCCCCCCCCTTTGTTTTAGCAGTCCTTTGTTAGGTATACTCTATCTCTGGCCAAACATCCAACATTTCTGTTTTATGAGCTATGGTCTATAAATCCAAAAAAACGTTCTGATATATTATCTTCTTAACCAACTATTCATTTCTCAGCTATCACTTTCTTTTGCCGTGATCAGTAACAGTGATGAAAATGCCACCTGTACTCCTAAAAAAATCTTCAGTTTCTTGGTCAAGACCTTAGCAGTCCTTTTTTTTTTTAAAAAAAACTCTTACCTTTATGGTTGTCTTTTTGTTTTATTTATCTTCAATTCTTAATGCATCCCTTTTCCCTTTTTCTACCTGTGTAGCTTTTCCTTTTTATCAAAAAACCAGAGAAAGAGTGAGAGAGCAGAATATACGGTATTCCATACCCAAAGTCCCCTACTTCTGCAGTGAAGGGAGGTGCATTTTCTCAGCTCTCCTCTGTTGCCAAGCTTAATTGGACAGCATTTAGGGTTTTTTTCCCGTACTGGTTACATTGTTGTGTTTGTGTGTGTGTGTGTGTGTGTGTGTGTGTGTGTGTGTGTGTGTGTGTGATTATTATGACTGTTGAGGGGATAGGAGGATAGTAGATCACAGTGAAGGTTTACTGTAGAGGTGAAGCATAGAAAGATAATGATAGAAGGTTATAGTCAATTAGAGTTTTAATTAAGAAAATAGAATATTTGTGGAAAATAGTGAAATCCAGGATGTGACTGCTTCTGCCTCTGTATGTGGCTGATGTGGTAGAAGCATAAGTTGATCCTAGGAGTTGAAGAGATTGAGTTGCTGCGGGAATAGGGTACAGGAGGGAGCCTCATTGTGAATGTTGATGTCCCCTAGGCTAAAGGATTAATTCTCTGGGGTTTTCTAAGTTAAATATTTTATCACTTGAAAATAGCACTAATTTTGTTTATTCTTTGACAATGTTTATGCCTTTAATTTCTTCTTGTTGTCCTATTGAGATCACTTAGCATTTCTAAAACGATGTTGAATAGAAAGGGAAGTGAGATCATTACTTTTCTTCAATATTTATCATGAAAGCTTCTGGTGTTTCCCTATTGCAAATAATGCTAGCATTTGAGAATATACAAACACACATATGTATGTATTATACTTTTTAGCATATTAAAAAGACTCTTCTCTGTCTATACTTTGTAGATTTTTGGCATTAAGTGAATACTATATTTGGTTAAAAACTTCTTCATCTATTAACATAATCATGTGTTTTAAAAATGTATCTATTCATGATTTAAATCTCTGATTTAAATATTAGGATTATTTTTTCTCACTTTATGAAATTATTTAGTATAAGTATTGTTATTTAAATGTTTGAAAAAAGTTACCTCTAAATTCATCTAGATCAAGATTCAGAGTTTATTTTCTGTGATTAAGTTGTTTGACATTTATCTAGCATTTTGTTAATTTGGGAATTTTCATTTTTGTAGGCAGGTCTCCTTTTTAAAAAAATTCTTAATTGGGATATAATAGGTTATGATCATTACTTTTATTTATTCTCTGTTGTAATTGCACCTTGTTTGCTTTTTATTTTGTTTGTTTTTTCTCCCTTTTACTAGGTTAGCTAAAGGTTTATTGATTTTATTAATTTTTTAAAAAAAGTTTTCTGTTTTGTCTTATCTGTTGTCTTGTTATTTTTCATATTTTTTTTACTTAAAGATTTCCCTTTTTGTATTTACATTGTTTTCTTGTTGATTTTCTAATTTTAAAAATTGTATCATCAGTCAATTAATCCTTTCTTTTTTTGTTTTGTTAACGTGTGTTTTCAGAGATATAGTTTTTCCTCTGAGGACTGCTTTAGCCGCATCCCAGAAATTTTGGTAGGTTGTCTTATTTTTATCATTCTCTTTTTGATTGTTTCTGTGATTTGTTCTTTTATTATTCGTTGTTTAGGAAGCCATTTGTAAGTTTTTGTTTAGGTCTCATTTATTTTATTTTATTTTTTAAATTCAGTGTATTTCTAGTTTTTTTACGTTCTGGTGGGCAAAAGATGTATTTAGTATTTTTGCATTTTTTATTTATAATTTTTCTGTTCCATAGTGCATGGCTTGTTTTTATAAAGGGGGTGTGAAGAAATATGTATATTCTTTAATGTTCCTCTTTAGAATATGTTATAAATCTTTCAGAACTAATTTATTCAACAGTTTGTTCAGTTCTACATTTTCTTTTTTGTTTCTTTTTGCTAGATTTTTCCAGCTCTAAAGAAGGAATATTAAAGTCATGACTTTGCAGTTGTTAACTTTTACTTTATGAACTTAGATGTTGCCATTTGATGCATATATGTTTATATTAATTATTTATATTATTTATTTTTTGTGTTTTTTTCCTTTAAGCCTAATGAAATTTTTCCTTTTAATGAAATTTTTCTTTTTATCACTTTTAATATTGTGGATTTTTTTTTTGTTTTGACTGATAGCACGATTGAAATTCTTGCTGTTAAAATGCCTGATATATAGAAAATTTTGTTAGTTTCTCATTTTCATTTAGTATGAAGCTTTATTTTTTATTGAGATTTATTTCATTTATTTAGCAGATTGGGTTTTGGTTTTTTCTTTATCTTGTTGGTATATTAGGAGGATTGTTTAATGTATTGATGTTTAAAGTTGTAATTGTCAAAATTGTGTTTTTATCTATTTCTTTTGTATCGATTATTTTTGTGGCCCTACACTTTTACATCAGTATACTCTTCCTGACATTAGTTTTATGTACACTGTTTTGATGCTAATCTATTCCTGCAACTCTCTTCCTGTCCTTTTGCTTCTATTTGCCTACTCTATTCCAGATTCCTTAAATTTACTTAAACTCTTTCCTCTTCTTATTTCTTTCTCTTTCTCTTTTGGCTCTTCTTTTTCCTAGCTCAGTAAAATGTATGATTCTAAATTTTCCCTTCTTTATTTCTCCACCCCCTTTCTTTTAGTATATTCTTTCCCAACAGTGTTTTTCTTTGCATCATTTTCTTTTTTTTTTCTATTTCCTTTTAGTAAATTCTGAATTCTCATGATTAGGGAATTTTTATTCTCTGTGTCTCTTACATAAGGGTAGAGCTTTTGAAGATTCAGATATGAACTCCCTCTTTTATGTTGTTTCTGTATAACAGTGTTTATAGATGTTAACAAATTACTCTGTTTTCTATTGTGCTTTTCTCTTAAAAGTATCAGTTCATGGAGGAAGTAGTGTTGGATGGAAGCAGTAGCATACAGTGGGAATAACTCTCTCAAGGCATAATGCCTTCTCCTTTTCTCTAGTCTTAAAACATGCTCAGTCTCCACTCCTAAGGCCAGGTTATCCCATCTCTCATTTGATGTATTCTCTACAAGTGAGTTTTGGTTGCTTTTGGGAGTTTGTTCATACCTCCCCTTTCCTGGGGTAAGATGCAACCTTGGAAGATACAGCTGTTTACCTGGAAAGTTTCTTCTAATGTGGAGATTTCCTTCAGACAAAGCCCATTTTAATATTTTGTCTCTTATCATAGATATACAGCTCTTACTTACTTTTCTAGGATGAGCCCACTTTTCCCTCCATCCCAGTTCTTATTCTACATTGCTTTTATCCCGTTCTCTCACACCAACTCTTGTTGAAAGAATAAAGACATTGTCCTTTCCCTGTTCACCTACAGATTTGGTGGGGATACATTTGTTTTTTATCTTTCCTCTTTCCATTTATGTAACTTCCCGTTGTATTCACCTTCCTACAAAATATATTGGTTCAGTTATAGAGAGTCATGAGATTTAGTCCATAGAATATTGATCAGTTCTTTCTCCTACCATTCTTCTGATTCTTTAAATTCTCCTTAGGTCTTTAGTCCTTCAGGTCATTTTTGTCTTTTGACTGCTTTCCTTGTTTTTTCTTTTCCTTGTTTGCCTGCTCTATTTCAAGTGGCTTAAATTTATTTAAATTCTTTCCTCTTTCTATTTATCTAGTTCTCTTTCTCTTTTGACTCTTTTTCCTTGCTCAGTAAATCTTCTCTTCCCTACCTTCCCTCCCCCCTTTTAAGTACATTCTTTTGCTGGGCCCTTTCCCAAAAAGAGGCCTTTTTTTTTGAATATTATCTTCTCTTCCATCCTCCAATTTCTTGTAGTTGTAGAGTAATCCAGAGTTATTCAAATGTGTTCCCTCATAGCTGAAGATCTTTTTCCTCACTGCTTACAAAATTTGTTTGTTTAGCAAACAAATTTTGAATTATTTTGTTTGTTATTGACATTGTCACATCTAACTACTACAAATATAGAATTTTATGTGTGGGTTTTTTTCCTCTATGCCATTTTGTGGAATTGATTAAACATTCAGAACAGTTTTTTTTGTGTGTGTCATTCCCTACAGTAGAATGTTCACAATTTTTAATTTGTCGTGTTTTTTCCGGAAGAGGCATGATGCTTAAGTTGCCTCTCTACATCCTATCTTGAAGGTCAGTTGCTTCAACTTTTCTAGAATTTTCTAGAATGTTCTTTAGCATTGCTACCTCTTTTTCCAGCTTTTCTTCTACATCAATATTTTTATAATCCAATTTGTTATTCTTTCTTTCAGAATCTATATTTTTGGAAAGAATGCTCATCATTTTTCTTATCTCTTATGTTTATCAGTTCTTTTCTGAGAGCTCTGATTTCCAATAACTTAAATATGATTCCTGATATCTTTTAACAATTTTATTTCTTTTTTGAACCATTCTAGATTTTCTTGTAGTTGTTTCATGATCTCTGGAGAAGTTGCAAGAGTTCTTTTTTGGAT